TTCAGGAAGGTTCCACTGTTAACTGGTGTAAGGGGCTCACAGTATCTGAACTGTACAAACAATATAATTTCTGCAAGCCTCTGTTTTTCTTCTAAAAATCTGAAATTTGGGTATGTGCCAGGCAGAGGGTGTCATATATTATCAGGTCCCAGTGAAAATCTTGGGTGTTCAGTCTCTAATGAGCATCCCTGGTTGGCAACATTCCCCACAATTTGTCACAATTTGTTTAAGGAATTAAACACATCTTGAGTGACTCCACCGGAAGAGGAATCTTCGAAGTTTACTTACATCTGATTTACCTGGGACTTATCCCCATGTACCTTTTCTCTTTGCTGGTTATGCTCCTTATCCTTTCACGATAATAAATCATAACCATGCATATGACTACATCCTGAGTCTTGTGAGTTCTCCTAATGAATTCCCAAAACTCCGAGCAGTCTTGAGGACTCCCAACAGAGTTCCCTAATCTACTTTTACAAGAATTACTTAATTTGAAGATTAGTTGTTTGCCCCTTAAGATAGGAAATGACTTCTAAATGCATTAGTAATGAAAATTTAGGTATTCCCTAAGCATTGTCAATCAAATCTACACCAATTGATTTTAACTATAACCTATGATTTTGGTTACAGTGGTGTGACCAATGTTACAAAGTGTTGGTAGGAAATTATCTTTTAGCTGTTGTCAAAATGTTTTTTTTAAAGATTTATTTATTTATTTATGATAGACAGAAAGAGAGAGAGAGGCAGAGACACAGGAGGAGGGAGAAGCAGACTCCATGCCTGGAACCCCATGTGGGACTCGATCCCTGGACTCCAGGATCATGCCCTGGGCCAAAGGCAGGCGCCAAACCACTGAACCACCCAGGGATCCCCTGTCAGGATGTTATATAAGATGACATCTGACTCATTGTAGAGTGCCCTCTGTATTAGGTAGGACCCCTGGGCAAAATTCGGATCTCTTTTGACTAAATTAAGCTTATTTTAAACTATATGTTTTGCTTTTATATTAGAGTGACTCTAATGACTGGTTGGGGGCTTGGATTTTTTTTTTAAACTTTAAAAAACTAATAGTCAAATTGCAACTCAAACCAGTGTACAAGATGATATCCTATACAAGTTTCTCTGCACACTAAGCTCATTTTAGTGATGGTTTGTTTTGTTTTGTGTTTTTTAGAGAGAGAGAGAATGTGTGCACAACTGTGGGGGAGGGGCAGAGGAAGGGGAAGCCAGAGAATCTCAAGTAGTCTTCATGCCCAACTTGGAGCCCAACACAGAGCTCAGTTTCATGACCCTGAGATCATGACCTGAGACGAAATCAGGAGTCAGATGTTAACTGACTAAGCCATCCAGGTGACCCTATGGTTATTTTTAATGTGTCCTAACTTCCTCAGTATTTTTCTAACTCTTATTGTTTTTATTTTTGCCAGACATTTCAAAAATTTTCAGATGAGTCATGTGGTTAGGAACTTTTCAGATAAGCCATACAAGAATGAAGAAAAGGAGTACTAAATCAATAACACATCCAAAGGATAGTGAAGAAAAAAAAAAAAAGCAAGCAGTTAATACTGGGAAATGAGAACCAAAGACTGAAAATTTTAAGTGCTTAAGCACTTTAAAATCAAGACAGCATGTTGGAAGTTCCAATTCCTTTAAATAAATGTGACTATTTTGCCTTCTTTCCTCATAAATTTTATACTTAGGTTAACTTGTCTCAGTAGCAGAATATATGAAAACACTTGGATTTTGCTTGATGACTTCAAGGACAATCTATTCTCCTTTGGAATGTAAAAGCTCATTAATACATTTTCCAACTTAAGAATAAGTTTTTTTTTTTTCCAAAAGTTTACATTTAAGAGCTAGTGTTTAAAACACATTTTCCCACAGAAATGTTATTACAAATGGTGGTTAATACCCAGGCCATCCCAGTGAACTCATTAAACTCATAAAAACCAAAAGTAGATATTTGCAATGAAAACAGTGTAAAACTGCATTATGAAAAAAAAAAAAAAAACCACCTTGCATTTTAAATTCCAAAGTTAAATTTAAACATGCAGTTTAAGTGTATTCTAATCAAATCCACTATCCACAGCGTTTAAGCCAGGGCTTCATTTTGGGCCTCTTCAAATATAACCTTAAACACTACAGGTAGAGAAGGGAAGAGTGGAAGGTTTTGAAATTGGGTGAGTGGGACATGGAGAGACAGTCTATGCACAGTCTAAGAAAGTAAGTACATTGTATTTACCCACATTGGGATGGAGGTGGTTTCTACTCTGATTTCTGGGAGTACAATGAATTTGGTACAGGATGGAAGTTCCACAGGATGGAAAAAGGGATGGAAAGGTGATTTTGGCTTCTCAGAATCCTAGAATCATTAATGTGCTACTATCCAGTGGGTGGGTAATAGGGCATATCTCTGGCAGCTCATAAACATGAATGACCAGCTGGCTAATTCTTGAAGCAGGTGGGTTCTGAGTACACAGGTGAGCAGCAACAGGCAGTGGACCCGGGTCCCTCATAGCAGTCAGTGTGCTACCTGGCAGAGGAGAAAGATACAAACCTATGGGTTTACATAGGAGACTTGTGGAAATGCTGACGGTGTGAAGAAGACATAAATTTCCAACATGGAAGAACAGAAGAGGAAACAAAGGTATAAGATGTGTTTCTTGCAGCAGTGCCAGCCAAAATGTTAGACCCAACTGGGCTCTCCATTGCTAAAGTATGGCTAGGCCTACATTTGATGTATTTCAGGTTTGTCTGTCCTGGTTTGGGGAAGCACTTCACAAATAATCCTGCTTCTAAACACTACATATTTAGGGGATCCCTGGGTGGCTCAGCGGCTTGGTGCCTGCCTTTGGCCCAGGGTGCGATCCTGGGGTCCTGGGATTGAGTCCCGCGTCGGGCTCCTGGCATGGAGCCTGCTTCTTCCTCCTCCTGTGTCTCTGCCTCTTTCTCTCTCTCTGTGTGTCTATCATAAATACAAATAAATAAATCTTTAAAAAAATAAACACTACATTAATTTAAAATTAATAAGAAAATACTATACCATAAAAAGAACCATAGGAACTTTTCAAAAGCATACTTAAATATTTTACAAAATTGTACATTCTCAGGTACTTTTTTTAAAAACCATACATATCATGAATCATGGACTTCAAAAAAAAATTTTTTTTAACCTGCTCTCTTCCTCCCCTTCTCCAGACACCCTCTCCACTAGTAACTTACAAGCTAGTAGTCATCCTTCCACACACTTGTAATTTTCCGTTAAGTATTCAAATATATATGAATGCATTTTTACTCATTTTATTGAGACATAAAAATGATAATATCTGAAAGGCAAATCTTAGGTGTATGATGTGTTACAGCATAGATAGACAAAATTTGAACATTTGTTTATTAACAGGTGTTCACTTTCATTTTGCACTTTTGCCACTGGAAACGCTGTAAAACTCCTCATTCATATATATATATATATCTTGTTATTCAAATTTATATTCACTTGTATCATGACAAAGACTCCCAATATTTCACCGGCTCCCCACAATAAAGTTTGCTTCTAGTCTGCACCACTGTCTAATGCAAGTTAGGCTATTACTGCAAGATGTCTGCCCTAAAAGTGATTCAGGGATCTACCTTACGCTTTTGTTATTTCCAGTCCTTCATTTCCAGCAGCAAGGACGTGACTGAGCTTGAAAGATGAGGGGGATTTTTTTTAACTACGATTTTTTTTATTTGAGTGTATTTGATACACAGTATCACATTACTTTCCGATGTATAACATAGTGATTTGACAAATCTATATGTTATGCTGTGCTCCCAAGTGCAGCTATCATCTGTCACCTACAGTATCATTGACTTTATTCCCTGTGCTGTGCCTTTTATTCCTGTGACTTATTCATTCTATAACCGAAAGCCTGTGTCTTCTACACCCCTTCACCCATTTTGCCCATCCCCCAACTCTGCTTCCCTCTGGCAATTGTTTCCTGTTTACCGACTTGTTTATTCATTTATGTTTTTGAGATTCCACATATGAATGAAATCATATTTTTTAAGATTTTATTTATTTATTTATCTATGAGACACACACACACACAGAGGCAGAGACACAGGCAGAGGGAGAAGCAGGCTCCATCCAGGGAGCCCGACGTGGGACTCGATCCCGGGACTCCAGAATCTTGCCTTGAGCAGAGGGCAGGCGCTAAACCGCTGAGCCACCCAGGGATCCCCTGAAATCATATTTCTTTCTTAGTCTGATTTATTTCACTAAGCATAATACCCTCTAGGTCTACCCATGTTGTCACAAATGACACAATCGCATAATATTTATGTGTGTGTGTATGTGTGTACTCACACCACATCTTTAACCATTCATCTGCTGATGGATAAGGCTTTCCATACCTCGACTATTGTAAATGTTGTAATAGACATAGGGGTATCTATGTCGTCGAATTAGTGTTTTCATTTTCTTTGGGTAAATACCCAGGAGTAGAATTACTGGATCAGGTGGTGTTCCTATTTTAAATTTTTTGAGGAATTTCCGCACTATTTTCCACAGTGGCTGTCGCAGTTTGCATTCGCACCAACAGTGCATGAGGCTTCCTTTTTCTCCCCATCTTTGTTACTTTTTTTTTTTATAAAGATTTATTTATTCAGGGATCCCTGGGTGGCGCAGCAGTTTCGCGCCTGCCTTTGGCCCAGGGCGCGATCCTGGAGATCCGGGATCGAATCCCACGTCGGGCTCCCGGTGCATGGAGCCTGCTTCTCCCTCTGCCTCTCTCTCTGCCTCTCTCTCTCTCTCTCTGTGACTATCATAAATAAATAAATTAAAAAAAAATTAAAAAAAAAAGATTTATTTATTCATGAGAGACAGAGAGAGTGAGAGACAGACACAGGCAGAAGGAGAAGCAGGCTCCACGCAGGGAGCCCAACATGAGATTCGATCCCGGGTCCTCAGGATCACGCCCCGGGCTGAAGGTGGCGCTAAACCACTGAGCCACCGGCTGCCCCCCATCTTGGTTACTTGTTATTTCTTTTTGGTTTTAGCCCATCTGACAGGTGTAAGGTGATACCTCATTGTGATTTTTATTTGCTTTTTTTCTGATGATTAGTGATTTTCAGCATATTCTCGTATGTCTCTTGGCCAGCAGATGAGAATTTATGACGAAAACTGGATGTGGCTTAGGATGCTTCTGCCCAGATTCCACTGGCTACAACCCAACCATGAAGTCCTTACCCAACTGCAAGGGAGGCTGGAAAATGCAGTCTTCCTGTAGGCCCAAACAGAGGAAATGGATAATATCCAACCAATTTTGCCAAGTATCTTTACATCCTGGTAACTTTATTTCAAAGGATTTATTTCTGGACTGACATTTCTGGACTATGAAATTTGAATATTGTGTGAGATCACTTGCATAAGGACCATAATAATTCCTATTTCTGTCAGCAGAGTAAGAATACTTAGCACCATTCTTGTTTTTCTAAATCTCCCCTCTGTAAGTGCTAGAAGACTAGAACTAAATTGACCAGATTCTTTTGTCAACTGGGTCCTGGTTTAACTTCTACCAATAAGAGGCATTCTCACTGTGAAATCAGGAAGGGCAAAGAAAGCAAGCAGTCTTTATTTCGTTACACACGGACAATGGCAGGTCGTGTCAATCACATGTTGACAGACGTCAGAATGGCAGGCGCAGTGGCTTCCAGGTGATGTCCGGCATTGTGCAGAGATTACTGGCAGTGGTTTTCCCTGAAATTCCTGCTTCCCTGGATTTCTAAAAGTCAGCCATGATTTCTACTGACTCTTTCCTTTAGATAGGTTAGTGAGCATCTCATTTCTTATATAAAATCTCTTCCTGGGATCCCTGGGTGGCGCAGCGGTTTAGCGCCTGCCTTTGGCCCAGGGCGCGATCCTGGAGACCCGGGATCGAACCCCACGTCGGGCTCCCAGTGCATGGAGCCTGCTTCTCCCTCTGCCTATGTCTCTGTATGTCTCTGTCTCTCTCTCTGTGTGTGACTATCATAAATAAATAAAAATTAAAAAAAAAAATAAAATCTCTTCCTACTTGAAATATTTAAGGCATTTTTTTTTCTCCAGACCAAGAACTTACATATCAACTTAGCATTTGTTTTTGGTCTTTAATAGCCCATATTTTTCCACATATAACTTTTTAATTCTTTATTTCAAATATATGTATGTTGTATGTTATAGCTATGGAGCTATCTGCCCAAGACTTGATATAAATATTCTGTAAAACTTCTAATTTTTATATTTTAAAGTCATTAATCCATCTGGAATTAGCTTTTGCATATGTTGTGAGTACTAGTATAATTTATTAAATACATTTTCCCACCTAACTGAAATACTATACATGTCCCAAATGGCTGGATCTATTTGTTTATTCCTAAGCAATGCCATAGAGCGTTATTTGCTGTGGCTTTATAAGATATTTTAATAATTGGTTTATAAATTTAAATTCAGGGATCCCTGGGTGGCGCAGCGGTTTGGCGCCTGCCTTTGGCCCAGGGCGCGATCCTGGAGACCCGGGATCGAATCCCACGTCAGGCTCCCGGTACATGGAGCCTGCTTCTTCCTCTGCCTGTGTCTCTGCCTCTCTCTCTCTGTATGACTATCGTAAATAAATTTAAAAAAAAAATTAAAAAATAAAAATAAATTTAAATTCAGTGGAAATCATCTAACACAATAATTTGTGCTACCAGCTTAACTTAGTTCTATACAGAACTCAAAATAATACTGTTCTATCTCTATTCATGTATTTGAACTTCCTACAAATGTTAATAACAGAAATAACTAAATGCTTGGCTAATATAAGGCAGCAATGGTCAGTCCTAACCTGATCCAAATACTTGAGAAGGAGCAGGTTGTCTTCTCACTGACCACTGTTATCCTAAATGAATGCTAGAAAACCAAATTGGTAATGTTATTGTAATCATATGCTACTTTTTAAATTCATATATAGTTTATATATAGGACTCCATAAGAGATTTTGTTTATAAAATGGGTACAATTATTTTAGTGTTCAAATTATTGGTCTAATATATAAACTTGTGTTGCCTTCAGTATCAATCATTCAACTGTCTGCTTCTTTTACTGAGATAAAATTTACATAACAGAGTTCCCCCTTTAGAGTGTTCAATTTGGTAGTTTTTAGTATATTCACAAAGTTTTACATTGATCACCATTATCTATTCCTCTTTGGGTTTTTATTATTAAAAAATGGGTAAGCAAAAGTACAATTTTCATTCAATAAATATCGTTTGATCCTTATACAGTTTTGTTACAGAAAGTGAAGTCCATGATTTTAGAATGATGGTAGTAATTTATCAACCAAGTAATCAATTTTCACACAGTTTCAATAACTGCAGCAATTTCCTTGAACTGTCTGTAGAAATTCTGGAGATAAAAAGGAAAGAGAATATTAACTTAGCTTTTACAGAATATATAAGTAGTTCTCTTACTTATACCTGACCACTAAAGACCATATAACATGTTAAATTTGCATGTTGATGTTTATATCACTATTATTATTTGAAAGTTATAAAAAACAAACAGGTGCAATTTGGTACCACAAGCATAAATACTATTGTAGCATTGGATAATTAGTTCATAACTAAAATTTTTAAAAGCACAAAAGAAAGTTCTTTTTTGAGATCATACCAGGTAGATTAAATACCCAAAACGTAGGCAATGAAGATAAAAACAAAAATGACAGTTTTGGGGGGGGGTGCCTGGCTGGCTTAGCCAGTAGAGCATGCAACTCTTTTTTTAGATTTTATTTATTTATTTTAGAGAGCAGATGGAGGGGCAGAGAAGGCAGAGGGACAAGCAGACTCCATTCTGAGCGTGGAACCGACATAGGGCTCAATCTCACAACCCTGAGATCATGACCTGAGCAGAAAACAAAAGTGCAGTTCTTTAAAAAGATTAAAAAAAAAAAAAAAAAAAAGGGACACCTGGGTGGCTCATTGGTTGAGCATCTGCCTTGGACTCAAGTCATGATCCCTGGGTCCTGGGATGAAGTACAGCATCAGGCTCCCCACAGAGAGCCTGCCTCTCCCTCTGCCTCTTTTGTCTCTCATGAATAGATAAAATCTTAAAAAAAAAAAAAAGTAAATAAAGTTCAGTTTCCAGGCTTCAAAGCATTTTAAATCTAGTGAAAGACTGTATATCAGGGTGAGTCAGCTGTCTTCTTTAAGATACAGGTTTAGTTACAATAAGAAAGACCTGGGTTGCCTGCGTGGCTCAGTGGTTGAGTGTCTGCCTTTGGCTCAGGGCATGATCCCAGAGTCCCAGGATTGAGTCTTGCACCGGGCTTCCTCCATGGAGCCTGCTTCTCCCTCTGGCTATGTCTCTGTCTCTCTCTGTGTCTTTCATGAATAAATAAAATCTTAAAAAAAATAATAAATAAGAAAGATCCACACTGACAATGGCTTATATGGTAGAAGCATATTTCCTTTTCTTTTAAAAATTAAGCTGGGGACAGCCCAGATGGCCCAGCGGTTGAGTGCTGCCTTTGGCCTAGGGCGTGATCCTGGAGACCTGGAATCAAATTCCACATAGAGTCCCACATGCCCACAGGCAAGGAGCCTGCTTCTCCCTCTGCCTGTGTCTCCGCCATTCTCTCTCTCTGTGTGTGTGTCTCTTATGAATAAATAAAAAATCTTTTAAAAAAATTACCTTGGTATGGTTGTTCTCCTATAAAAGTCATCTATTTTTCCATCTCCCAAATTTCCAAAAGAAGGAGCAAACAAATTGTTTTCCTTTCTTCTCTACCTGCCAGGAAGCTAGGAGGCAAATTTGAAACTTAACCTCAGCAATTAGGATACCCTCTAATGATTTACATATTTGCATTTTCCTTCTTAGTTGGTCTTAGTTCTCTATTCTGCTACTTAAGAGTATATATATTTTAACTTATATGTAAATTCATTATGGAAGGAAGCCAGATGTAACTATTATTAATGGTCAAAATTTCTGTTACAAAAAAGACATAAATTGAAAGCTTAAAAAATGTTCCTATGCTCTCAATGCTGCAATGTGACTAACAGGCTCTGGATTGATTAAAAGCCATGTAAAAAACCTTCTTTTAAGAGATTTGTCCCATTTGTGATTCTTTTCCTAGAGGGAAAATTCTTAGAGGTGGAATCAGAGAGCATGAATGCTATCAGAAAAATAAGAAATAGGCCAAGATTGTGAATTATATAAAGGAATGGATGAATATATATATATATATATTATTTTTTTTTTGAAATTGATTTGGTCCTTATATTCAGTTGAAGGCTACTCACATATCGTAATATACTATACTTCCTTTTAGCCAATTCTTAATTCTTTCCAGGATGCTAATTAGCATTAATAATGTTGACCATGGGTTTTTGTTCAAAAGCAGCAATATCTATTTTAAAGAAAAAAAAACCCAAAACAGAACTACCATATGGATCCTGAAACCTCACTTCGGGGTATATATCCAAAGGAAATAAAATCACTACCTCAAAGAGGTAGCTTCATTCCCATGTTCTTTGAGCATTATTCAGAGTAGCTAAAGTATGGAAACAACTAACTGTGTGCTGACACATGAATGATGCATTAAAAAATGTGGTGTGTGTGTGTGTGTGTGTGTGTATAATAGAACACTATACACCCTTAGAAAGAAATTCTTCTATTTTTGACAACATGAATGAACTTGGAGGATATTTTAAAAAATATTTTATTTATTCATGAGAGACACAGAGAGAGAGGCAGAGACATAGGCAGAGGGGAAGCAGGCTCCCTGCAGGAAGCCTGATGCAGTACTGGATCATGACCTGAGTCGAAGATAGGCGCTCAACCGCTGAGCCACCCAGGCTTCCTGAACTTGGAGGATATTATGCTAAATGAAATAAGCCAGACACAGATAAATACTGCACAATCTCATTTATTTCTGGGATCTAAAAAAGTAGAACTCATAATAACAAGAGAGTAGGCAGTTACCAGGGCTGGGGAGTAAGAGCAATGACGAGATATTGGTCAAAGGTACAAACTTTCAGTTATAAGATGTATAAGTTCTGCAGACCTAATGTGTAGTATGGTGACTATAGTTAATAATAATGTATTGTGTACTTGAAATTTGCTGAGAGTAGATCTCAAGTGTTTTCCCCACACAGTCACATAAGAGAGCCATATAAGGTGGTGGATATGTTAATTCGCTTGACTGTGGTAATCACTTCACAATGTATACATAATACCAAAACGTCACATCATATACCTTAGATACATATAATTTTTATTTGACAACTATACTTCAATAAAGCTAGTAGAAGAGTGTAATTTGTAAAAGAAGAAATCAAAAGCATCCTAAAAGGTATGAGAGGCTTTTCTTAAAAGGGAAGCCTAGGATCAATATATTTTTAGTTTTACAAAGAAGTCTCATTATATTTCTATTGCATTCACTTGGTTTGTTGTTGTTGTTGTTGTTGTTTAGAGTACTTTACTTTTCTTAGAGTACTAACTATTGTGAGAATTCTTAACTATTCACTCACCAAACCAATCAAACAAAAACAAAACTCTAAGGCCAGTTAAAGTAGTTAATGCTAAAACATTTCCTTGAAGGTACCTTTAAAAGAAAATCTAATTTTTCACTCATCCCCTTTTTTTCTTCCTTGCTTACAGAAAACAGGTAGAAATGATAATATGAATAAGATTACCCTACATATAAACTACTGAGTTACTCAAATCTCTAACTAATAAAACAATCATCAAGTAGTTGGTACTCTGATCAGCATTTTATAAAACATTTCCAGTCAGAAAATGCAAGGTGGACACTGTTCAAAGACAAGATTCATTTAACTTATCATTCTTGAATATGAAGCCTAAAAACAATAAAACAGTTAAATGCAAAGTAAATATCCTGCCAGAGAAGATGAAAATTTCCTAATGTTCACAGAAGTGTACGTGAGAGTGATCAAATATGACAGTACACTAACTTAGCATTATATTGAAAATATTGAAATTTATCAAATTCCTCCCAAAAAAATCAGATCTTTTGTATGTACTAATAAATGTAAAGCACATCAAAACAACTATAAATAAAAACAGTTAAAATTTTCTCTTAAGAAAGATTTCATAAATGTTTAAGTAGCAACTACAGAACAATAAACTACAACTTGAATGAGTGAAATCACAAACCTGAAATTGTGGAATTGTCATTTCAAAGCACTTGTTCTTTACTTGGCCTGAATGATCTGCCACTTTGAGCAACACTGCAACATAAGGATACTTAAGAGATCTGCAACTGTCGGAGCTCACAGCCATACCCAGTTTCCATTGAAAATCTACAAGCTGTAATGAAATATTACAGAACAATACATTGGTAATAACATTGCCATGGATGCAGATATTTACTCAATTTTACTGCTCTCACATTGAACTTTTAGTTTCAATGCTGGTCATAGTAAAAGAAAATATCTTCATTTTAATATTGCTAGGGGAACAATAATCAGAGGAAAATGGAGAGGCAATATGGGATATAAACAGAGTTGGACAACAACACTGTCATAATTACAATAGTAAAACACACACGCACACACACACATCTTCACCAGATGTATAATGGAAGTAGAAGGAAGATGTGGTTTTCCCTTCATTTTGCTCCTACATTTAATGGGACTACAAGTGCTCTGTAGCCTCTCTCACCTCACTCACCTAAAAGTCCTAAAGTGGAAGATGAGTTACATACAATCTTCATATGTGACTGGGACCCAAACGGGAACCGTTCCAGTTTCCTTTCTCACCATGGTCCTCGACCTGAAGCCTTATACTAGCGTAAGCATTAGGTGTTAGGTGGTTTTAGGTTTCATTACTGTTGATGATGAACACCTGTCAGGTGATGCGCTATGTAGTTTACATGTATTAAATGCCACCTTGAATCATCAACATTATAGGCTATTATTTCCATTTTGCAAATGACAAAACTGAATTTCAGAGAGCTTAGATAATGTGTGCAAGGTCACACATTTCTGTGATCAGAACTGAAACCAAAGTCTGTTTGACTCCAAAGATTGCATCCTTATTGATAATTGGCTGCCTTAATACTTTTAATCTAATTTCTATCAATGACTGCACGGTGTTGCTGGGGCATAAAACAGGATTGGATAAATGTAGCTCTTAATACTGACTAAAGCCTAAGTTGGTGAGTGGAGGAATTTTGGTTTTTTTTCAAAGCTTAGACAAGTAAACGGTACACAGCAGCCACTCATGAAAAATACTTGTTGGTTAATACTTTTTGCTACCAAATTAATACTGATAGGGCAAAAAGCTTTGTTTATTAATAAATCTTTTTTAAAAATAAAATTTGGGGATCCCTGGGTGGCGCAGTGGTTTGGCGCCTGCCTTTGGCCCAGGGCACGATCCTGGAGACCCGGGATCAAATCCCACGTCGGGCTCCCGGTGCATGGAGCCTGCTTCTCCCTCTGCCTATGTCTCTGCCTCTCTCTCTCTCTCTCTCTGACTATCATAAATTAAAAAAAAAAAAATAAAATAAAATTTGGATAAAATAAAATAAAGTAAAATAAAATAAAATTTGGGATCTTTTTTAAACAAGACTTATTTATATACCACCTACAAGATGTGCTCTAGAGGTAAGAAGGCAAACAGACTAAAAATGAAGGGATGGAAAAAGATATTCCATGAAATGGAAACCAAAGAAAGCTGGGATAGCTACAGGTAATATCAGACAAAATAGACTTTAAAACAAAGACTATAATAAGAAACAAAAAAGCAAATTACATAATGAAAAAGGGGTCAATCCAACAAGAAGATACAATGTGTAAATATTTATGTACCCAAAATAGGAGCACCTAAATAAACAAAGCAAATATTAACAGACCTAGAGGAAGAAACAGCGTACAATAATAGTAGACTTTAAATACTCCTCTTGAATCAATGGATAGAACATTCAGACAGAAAATCAATAAGGAAACATCAGCTCTAAACAACACGTTAGAACAGATGGACTTAACGGATAGTTACAGAACATTCCATCCAAAAGCAATAGAATACACATATTCTCAAGTGCACATGGAACATTTGCCAAGACAAAAAAAGTCTTCATTTAAGAGGACTGAAATCCTATCAAGCATCATCTCTGACCACAATAGTATGAAACTAGACATTAATTACAAGAAAAAAAAAAAACTAGAAAATTCACAAATATGTGAACACATAACAACATCAATGGGTCAAAAAAGAAATCAAAAGAGAAATTTAAAAAGTGTCTTGAGACAAAGAAAAATGAAAGTGTAATATACCAAAATTTATGGGATGCAGCAAAAACAGTTCTCAGATGTAAGTTCACAGTGATAAATGCCTACCTCATGAAACTAGAAAAGTCTCAACTAAACAAGCCAACTGTAAAATTCCAGAAAATAGAAGGGTGCCTGAGTGGCTCAGTCAGTCAAGCATCTGACTCTTGATTTTGGCTTAGGTGATCTCAGGGTTGAGAGATTGAACCCCATGTCCAGCTCAGGCAATGGGCATCAAACCTGCTTAAGATTCTCTTGTTTCTTCTCCCTGTGCCCTTTCCTCCCCGCTAAAAAAAAAAAAAGAAAAGAAAAAGAGAAAATGAAGCCCAAAGTTAGCAGAAGGAAATAAAGAAAGATTAGAACAGAAATAAATAGACACTGAAAAGACAATAGAAAATATCACTAAAACTAAAAACTGATTCTTTGAAAAGATTAAAAAAATTAAAACTTTGGCTAGAGTCACCAAGAAAAAAGAGGAAAATAAAATCCAAAGTGGGAGAGGAGACATTACAATTGATACCATGGATCCTAAGAGACTACAATGAAGAATTACATACCAATAAATTGAACAACCTAGAAGAAATGGATACATTCCTAGAAATATACAAACCACCAAGCCTGAATCATGATGAAACAGAAAACCTGAACAGACCTACTACTAGCAAGGAAAGAAACTGAATCAGTAATCAAAGGTGTTCCCACAAAAAAAAAAAAAAAAAAAAAAAAAAGTCAATAGACTAGATGGCTTCACTGAAGAATTCTACCAAACATTCAAACAGGAATTAATACCAATACTTCTCAGACTCTGCAAAACAAAAAACAAAAAAACAGGGAAAACTCTTCTTTTATGAGACCAATATTACCCCGATACCAAAACCAGACAAGGATGCCACAGGAACAGAAAAGTACAGGCCTATATCCCTGATAAACATAAATATAAAAATCCTCAACAAAAGATTAGTAAACTAAATTTAATAATACATTAATAGGATCATACACGATGCTCAAGTCAGTTATTCCAGAGATATAAGGATTGTTCAACATCTGTAAATCAATGTGATAAACATTTTAAAAATGAAAGATAAAAATCATATAATCATCTCAATAGATACAGAAAAAAGTATTTGACAAAATTCAATACCAATTCATGATATTAAAAAAAAAAAAACTCTCAACAAAGCAGGCATAAAGGGAACATACCTTAACATAAAGGCCACATATGACAAACCTACAGCTAACATTATATTCAATGGTAAAAAGTTAAAAGGTTTTCCTTTCAGATCAGGAACATGACAACAATGTCCACTTGAACCAATTTTATTCAACACAGAACTGGAAATACTAGTCAGAGCAATTAAGCAATAAAAAGAAATAAAAGGCAAGATCCCAGGACCCTGCTCAATGGGGAGTCTGCTTTTCCCCTTGCCCCTTTTCCTTCTGCCCCTCTCCCTGGCTCGTGCTCTCTCTCTCAAATAAATAAATAAAATCTTAAAAAGAGATGGAAACAATAATAAACGGAAAGATATCCTGTGCTCAAGGATTGGAAGAATTAATGTTGTTAAAATATTGTCCATACTACTCAAAGCGATCTATAGATTCAATGCAATCCCAATAAAAATTCCAATGATATTTTTCACAGAATGGGAAAAACTCTAAAAAGTATGAAACCACAGAAGACCCCCAAAATAGCCAAAGCAAATTCTGGGAAAGAACAAAGCTGGGACATCATGCTCTCTGGTTTCAAACTATAATACAAAGCTATAGTAATTTTTAAAATATAGCACTGGAATGAAAACAGACACATAGATTAATGAAACATAATAGAAAGCCCAAAAATAAACCCATGCCTACATGGTCAATTAATTTATGACAAGGGAGTCAAGAATGTACAGTGGTAAAAGGACAATATCTTGGGCACCTGGGTGGCTCAATGGTTGAGCATCTACCTTTGGCTCAGGTCGTGATCCCAGGGTGCTGAGATCGAGTCCTGCATCAGGCTCCCAGCGTGGAGCCTGCTTCTCCCTCTGTCTGTCTCTGCCTCTTATGAATAAATATATATATTTTTAAAAGGATAGTATCTTCAATAAATAATGTTCGGAAAACTGAACAGCCACATGCAAAGGAAGGAAACTTGACCACTCTCTTATGCCATACACAAAAGTTTACTCAAAATGGATGAAGGACTTGAAAATAAGACCTGAAACCATAAAACTCCTAGAACAAAATGTAGACAGGAAGCTCCTGGAGAATAGAAATCATGGTGATAATTTTTTTAATCTGACACTAAAAGCAAAAGCAACCAAAGCAAAAGTAAACAAGTGGGACTACATTAAACTGAGCTTCTGCACAGCAAAGTAGCTATATTCATAATCGCCTAAACTGAAACCACCCAAATGTTCATCAGTTATAAGATACATATATGTACATGAGTATGTACATATGTACATATGTGAAATATGTACAACAATGAACTACAGCTACAATTTAACATCAAAATGTCGAAAAGAAACAAGTCAAAAGTTATGTGATTATATTCACTTAAACTTGAGAAACAGGAAATACAGTATTCTTTAAGGCTGCATACACAGGTGGGAAAATTATATAGAGAGGCAAGAATGCAATTATCACAAAAGTATCATTACCTGTATGGAGGAGAAAAGAGAGAGGTTTGATTGGGAAAGGGCCTGTGGTGGGCTTCTGAGGTACTGGTGATGCTCCATGTCTTGAATTTGATTGTGGTTACAAAGATGCTCACTTTAAAATCACTCATTAAGCTGTTCATGGTAATGCACTTTTTTGGCATATGTTACCTTGTAGATATCAGGCAGGGGGAGTGAGTATCAGTGAATACAAACCTTTCTGGTTGAAAGAAAAAAATTTATTGTAGGCTACTGTGATCAAAGGAATGCTTTACAGAAGGCATAAACTTTCAGCTCAGTTTTGAAGATTAAACAGAACTGAAATTGAGAGGAAAATGTGTCTTCTTTATATATTCCATAACTACACACCTAACAAAGAATAAATGCTTGATAAATATTAAGCTGAGCCAACTAGAGATGGAGATAGTCAATATCTGGTATAAGAGAGCATTTAACTGCCTTAAAGTGGATGGCTCCTGTAAGGAAGTATGGAAGATAAAGCTGAAAAAAAGAGGTGAAGAAGCCAATAATTCCTTTCAAATTGTGAGTTTTCAGAGGTTTTCAGAGTATTCTCATATACTTTATCTTATGGAAAATATATTGCATCATTTAAATTTCTCCTTTATGCAGGACTCACTGAATTTTTTTCAGTAAAGATATGAAAGTATTGATTAAAATATATTCATCTGGGACACCTGGGTGGCTCAGCTGTTGAGTGTTTGCCTTTGGCCCAGGGTGTGATCCTGGAGGCCCCAGGATCGAGTCCCACATCGGGCTCCATGCATGAAGCCTGCTTCTCTGCCTATCTCTGCCTCTCCTCTCTCTCTGTGTCTCTCATGAATAAATAAATAAAATCTTTAAAAAAATTTAATATATAAATAAGTAATATTCATCTGGTGGCAGGAGAATACAATAATCCAGGTATGAGGTTTTTAAATGCCTGAACTAAAGTGGTAATAAGTAGGATTAAGCTGACCCTTAAAGAATGAATGAGTAGGCCCTGGTGTTTTTCTTAACAATTATGGGAGAGATCAAAGACAACTATGAAAATATGAGTACAGATGATGGGGAGAATGTTGATACCATATTACCAATCAGACTTTATAGATTTTAAGGCTAAAGGTATTATCAAGTGGTGACAGAGGATATTTAAATAGGAATGTTCAATAAGTGGCTAAAAATCCAAGAACAGAATCTAAGGGAGTTTGTAATTAGAGATATATTTTTTATATTATATCAATAGTGATTTCCAAAAATTTAATTTAGGGCACTTCTTAAACTTATTCAGTCTGCACAATTTCTTGATGCTTTACTGTCTACAGGAAAATGGTAG